GTGTGTGTGTGTGTGTGTGTGTGTGTGTGTGTGTGTGTGTGTGTGTGAGAGAGAGAGAGAGAGAGAGAGTGTGTTATGTCTCTGTGTGTGTATACACACACACACACACACACACAGAATATTATTTGGGAATATAGCATTGTGCACTTGTATTACTATCCTGTTTCAGTAACCATCCTTATTAAAACTCACTCAGTAAGTGACCAGCCTGTGTTTGGGTCACCCCGAGAACAATATTTCAGACCATTATGTTGTTCTTTGATACATTATGCTGTTCTTGTTTTTTACCCTTACCTCTATCTGGTTAGCAGGAGCCCTGATGTAGATCCCTGCTGGTGATAACGTTTCTATGTTGGAAAGTCCATCAGTTCCAGAAAGTCCAATCACTGTGTTGTGTCTGACTCTATTCCCCTGTTCCAGCCACCCTCCTAAAATATAATCAGAGGCACAAATTCATCAAATACAGCTCCAACAATCATCACTCATGCAGATCACATATTATTCTGTATGTTTTATTCCCCACCTATACTGTTGTGCAAGGCACCGTGTGCTGGTTGGCTGCAGCTCTTCACCACAGAGGTGGCTGCATTTCTGCAGTGCTGTACATATACTATTTGCAAAGCACTCTGGAATCCATGTTACACCATAGAAGGAAAGCTGAGAGTGGGGCAGGATCAATTTAACATGACAGAGGTCTAAATATCAGGGTGAAGATTATTACTGTGGTGCATAGTTGAAAGATCAGATAATTTCCACACGGTGGTGAGGGAACTGTTGTTATTAATTTGTACTATGGTCGTGCCAAGAGGCCGGAACCAAGATCAGAGCCTCTTGTGCTAGGCTCTGTACAAACACAGAGTAAGACGGTCTCTGCCCTGAAGAGTTTACAATCTAAACAGAGAAGACAGCCAACAGCTAGAAAGAAGAGAGATTATGATACACATTGTACAAATGGGGAACAGAGGCACAGAGCGATGAGGTGAGTTGCCTAAATTCACACAGGCACCCTGTGACAGAGCCAGGAATTAAACCCAAAATCTCCTGAGTCCCCACCCAATGCCTTAACCATGTAAACAGAAATATTAAAAACATATCATGCAATCATGTACCAAAGCACCTTGGGTTTTTGCTTGTTGTTGTTTTATTTTGGTTGGTTTTTTGGGTTGTTTTGGGGGTTTTGTTGTTGTTGTTGTTTGAGCCACGAACTAGACAATGGGAAGAAGACAACAATGGATGCACCACTCACAGCAGCACACATGCCTCCTGCCTGCAGTAATTGGGTCCCCAAAATGGTATGAATTGGCACAGAAAGGAAAGAAAAGCACTTTAACCTCCTTCCTAAGGAAATGCCAGCCATCATCTATCTGGAAAATGGCAAGCCCTATCCAAGGAACATGCAAGTCAACCTTGCCCTTCCTTTACAAGAAATATGGTTCTTGCTAGGGATAACATACGCCAACGCTCCCTGCAATTCTTCCCCAGACACAGGTACCCTCCCACATATTAACTACCCTAAATTAAAGCTGATCTCCAGAAAAAAAAATATGCATTGCGTTTGGGGCTTTATTTTTTCACACACTCTGCAACCTCCATGGCATTTACGTTGGAACTAGATCTTACTGAGACATATTTCCTTTTCAGATTGTATTTATTTCAGTCACAGCCATTATGAGGGCAAAAGTAGGATTGTATACGAGTTCTTTTGACAGTCATACAGGTTTGAAAGGAGGCATAAAAAGTCTTGGCTTCCAGGCCAGGATCTTGTTTGCCAATTAACTTTAAGCCCAGAGCAACTTTTTATGACTGTCCTGCAAAACCCTAGAAAATAGGGGTTTAAATGAAATCATTGAGAGATTCCAATTCTAGAGCAGCAAACAGGCAGCTATAATAAATATGCCTTTACAGGTAACAAAATGATATATAAATTCATCTTTCAGACCCTCTGGAGCTACTGACATTGAAGCCATTAAAGACGTCTTGAGGATACAGAGTATTCAGACCGAAATTTCTGAGGACACATTTAGTTCAGCCCAGAGATTGGAAAGTCAGACTTATGTCTCAGCATGAAGGATGGGAGGAATGGATTTCCAAATTAAGACCTGGACAGGTTGAGCGCTGCACCTGTTTATAGTCAAAGTGATTTCAGTGGGACTCCAGTCAAGCGGAAGGCCTGTATGTGTGCACTGGATTGCAGAATCGGGGCCTAAGGCTTTTGTTTGTTTGTTTAAATTTAAATTGCTGTTTCTCATCCATGACTGGCGGCAGCCAAAACTAACGTGATATCATTAGATACTCAGGCAGTATGGGATGCTGGTGGAACAGTCTGCAGACCAATCTCCAGCTTGCTTTAATGGTAGGTAGGAGAGAGATTTTGATTTTCAATATTTTTGTTATCTCAAGTTCCAAATCAGTCAAGTACCTAGGCCTGTGCTTGACTTTAAGCACGTGCTATCATCCCATTGTTTTTAATGTCACCTGATCAACGCTAACGGGAAGTATGTGCTTAGGTGAACCAGGTCTTTAAATATTACATCATAGAGTTCTTTCCATGACAGGTGAATCTCTATCTACTGTTAGATTATAAAGAAAAGAGGTGGGGTGGGAGAGAAGTACCAATGGGACTGAACAAGCTCCGTGCTGCTCATAAGAAATGGACCCAAGGCATATATGGTTACAAGGAGATAGGTCTTCAGCATCTGCATGAGGAAGTTGGAGAGTGATATAGTGGATTCCACAAGACTAGTGCCAGAGAACATGAATCAAACCTTCTTCCACCCAAGGAAATTTTGATTAACAGTGTCCTTGGCATAAAGAGCCACGTATAGGTTGATTGAAAATCCTCTGCTTCACTTACCCAGTAGAATCCCATGACCTAAAATGTTATAGAAAACATTATTGTCCACTCTTAGCTCTGAGGTCCTTGACAGACTGAGTCCCCGACCAAAGGAATCCCACACAGAGCAACTGCAAATGTAAGAATCTAGAAAGAAAAGGGTAGTGTCAGAGGAAAGCAAGAATATAACTCCAGGTTACCTCCGTTAAAGGTGATGTTTTTGTACAAACTATTATTCATCAACGCTGATGCTGCTTGATTAATCCAACTTGCTGTGATGCGCCGATGAGACAGATCGCAATTTAAGCTGTTCACCCTTACCAAATTTTGCAAATTTTTTTACCAACCTGCAAGTATTGCTTATATAATGAATTTTACCCCCTCAGCCCCAAAATGATTTCCAACGGGTAAAGTGTTTGCAACATTGTGACATTGCATCACAACATAACGAGGTTTTAAAGCAGCATCATAACATTGCAAAGTATTGTGGCATCATGCTTACACAAATATATCAAATTTCCTATGATGTCACTATACTAAGTGAATTTGCATCACAACAATGTCACGCAGGTGATTTTTTTTCTATACGACAAACTTTGAAATGTGGCCAGTTTAGCACAATCACACAAGAAGCCAAACATATGCCATCCAGTGATCCACAAAGCAAGAATAAAAATGTCATTACACTGTAAGAGATCTTTTATATGTAACCCAGTAAGCCATGTGCAAATTAGCAGACATGACTAATGTCAGGCCAGTGTGGGCTACATGCCAGGACAAAGGCAAAGCTTGCTCAGCTGATGTTCATATCCTGAACTTGATCTAGCTCCCTTTGACACCAATGGAAAGACTCCCATTGTTATGAACAGGAGTTGGAGGGACCCTACAACAGTCACCAGACTTTACTAGCAGTCTGCAGTAGTGATGGACAAACCTCCATGAGACTACAGTGGGGGAGGTCTAGGTTGGATATTAGGAAACACTATTTCACTAGGAGGGTGGTTAAGCACTGGAATGGGTTAACTAGGAGATGGTGGAATCTCCATCCTTAGAAGTTTTTAAGGTCCGGCTTGACAAAGCCCTGGCTGGGATGATTTAGTGGGTTTTGGTCCTGCTTTGAGCAGTGGATTGGACTAGATGACCTCCTGAGGTCTCTTCCAACCCTAATATTTTATGATTCTACAAAGTTTGGCTAGGAATCTCATGAGAACCAACTTTACCCATGAGTTTTCCAGCTCTTCCTGCTTTCCAGTTGCTAGACTGAAACTAATGAAATAGGCTTATTCTTAGGCCTGGTCTACACTGCCGCGCTAGTTCGGCGGCTGGGGATCGAAGTTCCGAGTTCGATTTATCGCGTCTGGTCTGGACGCGATAAATCGAACCAGGAAGTGATCCCCGTCGACTGCAGTACTCCAGCTCAACGAGAGGAGTACCGCGGAGTCGACGGGGAGCCTGCCTGCCGCGTGTGGACCGCGTCTGAACCGCGGTAAGTTCGAAGTAAGGTATGTCGAATTCAGCTACGTTATTCACGTAGCTGAATTTGCGTACCTTACTTCGACTTGGGGGGTAAGTGTAGACCAAGCCTTAGTATTTTACTTCTGTTTCCAGTGCTGGCCAGACCATGATTACACAGAGAAGCAGCAAAAATGAACTATAATTTGAGGCGGGCTGCTAGGCAGAGGGGAAAAACAATTAAATATCTTAAAATCTTCAACAAGATTCATTAGGGGTTGAGTTCTAGGAATGGATAAAACTTAATGTGGATTTCTTATTTAATCGAACCACCCCTAGTCCAAAACACATTTCATGGAGCATGAAGAGAGGCCCCTAAATACAAAATTTGGTTTGGTTTGGAATGTGGATTTTGAAGAAAACATAGAATCATAGAATTATAGCATTGGAAGGGACCTCAAGATGTCATCTAGTCCAGTCCTCTCCACACATGGCAGGACTATATTATCTAGACCATTCCTGACGGGTGGTCTAACCTGCTCTTAAAAATCTCCAATCATGGAGATTCCACAACCTCCCTAGGCAATTTATTCCAGTGTTTAACCACCCTGACAGTTAGGAAGTTTTTCTTAATGTCCAACCTAAACCTCCCTTGCTGCAATTTAAGCCCATTGCTTCTTCTCCTATCTCAGAGGTTAAGAAAAAAAAATTTCTTCCTCCTCCTTGTAACAACCTTTTACATACTGGAAAACTGTTATCGTGTCCCCTCTCGGTCTTCTCTTTTCCAAACTAAACAAACCCAATTTTTCAATCTTCCCTCATAGATCACGTATTCTAGACCTTTAATCATTTGTGTTGCTCTTCTCTGGACTCTCCAATTTGTCCACATCCTTCCAGAAATGTGGCACCTGAAACTGAACACAATACTCCTGTTGAGGCCTAATCAGCGCAGAGAAGAGCGGAAGAATTACTTCTCCTGTCTTGCTTACAGCACTCCTGCTAATACATCCCAGAATGATGTTCACTTTTTTTTGCAACAGCGTTACACTGTTTGACTCATATTTAGCTTGTGGTCCACTGTGACCCCCAGATCCCTTTCTGCAGTACTCCTTCCTAGGTGGTCATTTTCCATTTTGTATGTGTGCAACTGATTGTTCCTTCCTAAATGGAGTACTTTGCATTTGTCCTTATTGAATTTCATCCAATTTACTTCAGACCATTTCTCCAGTTTGTCCAGATCATTTTGAATTTTAATCCTATCCTCCAAAGCATTTGCAACCCCTCCCAGCTTGGTATCATCCGCAGATTTTATAAGTGTACTCTGTATACCATTATCTAAATCATTGATGAAGATATTGAACAGAACTGGACCCAGAACTGATCCCTGCGGGACTCCACTCATTATGCCCTTCCAGCATGATTCTGAACCACTGATAACTACTCTCTGGGAATGGTTTTCCAACCAGTTTTGCACCCACCTTATAGTAGCTCCATCTAAGTTGCAGTTCCCTAGTTTATTTATGAGAAGGTCATGCGGAACAGTATAAAAAACTTTACTAAAATCAAGATATTCCATGTCTACTGCTTCCCCCCATCCACAAAGGTTGTTACTCTGTCAAAGAAAGCTATCAGGTTGGTTTGACACGATTTGTTTTTGACAAATCCATGCTGACTGTTACTTATCATCTTATTATCTTCTGGATGTTTGCAAATTGATTGCTTAATTATTTGCTCCATTATCTTTCCGGGTACAAAAGTTAAGCTGACTGGTCTGTAATTCCCTGTGTTGTCCTTATTTCCTTTTTTATAGATGGGCACTATATTTGCCCTTTTCCGGTCTTCTGGAATCTCTCCCATCTTCCATGACTTCTCAAAGATAATTGCTAATGGCTCAGATATCTCCTCAGTCAGCTCCTTGAGTATTCCAGGATGCATTTCATCAGACCCTGGTGACTTGAAGACATCTAATTTGTCCAAGTAACCTTTTTCTTTCCCTATTTTAGCCTCTTCTGATCCTACCTCATTTTCAGTGGCATTCAATACGTTAGATGTCCAATAACCACCAACCTTCTTGGTGAAAACCGAAACAATGACATCATTAAGCACTTCTGCCATTTCCACATTTTCTGTTATTATTCCTTCCACCCGCCCCGATTGGTCCTTGGTCTTCCTCTTGCTTCTAATGTGTTTGTAGAATGTTTTCTTGTTACCCTTTATGTCCCTAGCTAGTTTGAGCTCGTTTTGTGCCTTGGCCTTTCTAATTGCTTGTGTTATTTGTTTACATTCATCCTTTGTAATTTGACCTAGTTTCCCCTTTTTGTAGGTCTCTTTTTTTATTTTTAGATCATTGAAGATCTCCTGGTTAAGCCAGGGTGGGCTCTTGCCATACTTCCTATCTTTCCTACGCAGTGGGATAGTTTGCTCTTGTGCCCTTAATGTCTCTTTGAAAAACTGCCAACTGTCTTCTATTGTTTTTCCCCTTAGACTTGTTTCCCATGGGATCTTAACCTACCAACTCCCTGAGTTTGCTAAAGTCTGCCTTGTCGAAATCCATTGTCTTTATTATGCTGTTCTTCTTCCTACCATTCCTTAGAATCATGAACTCTACCATTTCATGATCATTTTCATGCCCCAAGTTCAATCAGTGGAGGCCTGATTCGTGGTATTTCTTGGGCCTATCTCCGATCTATAATAATCATCAATAGCACCTATTTCTTATACAGTATAGCAGTTTTCATCAATAGATCCCACGGCACTTCACAGTCTTTAGTGTCTCTACCCTGACAAGACCCCTGAGAGTTGGGGCAGTGCTATTAACCCCATTTTACAGATAAGGAGCTGAAGCACAGAGAGGCCAAGTGACTTGGCTGAGTTCACAGAGGAAGTTGGTGGCAGAGCAGGTAATTGAACTGAGGTCTCCCAAGTGCTAGGCAAGGGCCCTAACCAGTCTCTCACCAGTCATACGGGCATCCCCGGCAATGGTCAGTGCGCTCAGTTGCTGCTGGAATGCTTGGCCCACGTGCTGGAATTGAACACCTTCCAAATGGATGTGACTGTCCTCACCCTGGAAAGCCTGCACAATAACAACGGCCCCCATATCCCGGGATCCTAGCATCCTCTCGCTCCTCTTGTACAGACATGCCGAGGCATCTGAAATACAGCAGAGAGAGTCTGTCAACGGCACAGCTCCACAGTGACTCTATGCTCCATGCAAAGTCCTAAGCCATGTCCTTCCATGCATAAGAGCTGATCCTTTTTAGAGGGACGTATATTGAAACCTGCAGGAAGCTGAAGTCATTTTATGCTTCGGTAAGCTCCTTCTGTTCAGTTCTAAATAGATCTGTGCCTGGGAAAGATGAATTTGACATTGATTTACTTTGGGTCAGATTCGTGAAAAGGCGATTGGGCATGGATGTATTTGAATTAAACTGCAATGAGAATACTTCAAAATTCTTTATGAACATTAGCTCTTCACAGTACCTCTCAGAGGTGTAAGTAAAGACTATTACCCCCACCTGGCAAGTGGGGAAAAGTGAGACACAGAGCTTAAGTAGCAACTTGCTCAGGGTCAAAGATGGAAGCAGGGCTCCGTGACTGGCACTCAGATCACACCTCTCTCTTGTTGGCAAAGGTTAGAGAGGATTTAAATGGGATTGAGTATGAACAATCCCCTTGTCCCTAGAGATGGCTCTTCCAGGTCAGACATGAGGCACACAAGTGGGTAGCATATGGAGATTTGTACTACCACTGCCCAAACTGTGCCTGTTCTGAGGCTACAGAGAGAATTTCAGTCTCCAACACTTTCTGGTCACTTTTAACAGCACTATTTTATTTAGTTTCTTTTATTTTTAAGAAAGAACTGTAACAACAAAATCCACTGCGACGCTGGCAACCAAGGTGCCAGCTCATGCCAGAGCTGCAGGGCAATTCACTTGTGTATTAGTATAGATAAAAGTGGTTGTTAAATGTAGAAGAGTGTAGTTGGTGCTTAAACGTCATGAAAATGAGTGGGATGTTACGTTCATTGTTTTCACTTATTTGTATCCTGGTATAATGGAGTAGCAAACATGTACATTGTATACACCCCGTAACTAAGTAACCCACCAAACGAGCCGTCAAATGAGAAAGAAGCCTTGTGCAATTCAAACGAAGAACTTTAACAGAAAAGAGCTCATTTCGAAGCAAGTGGGCATTGTGTGTGATGATCAGAGGTCAAAGACTCAAAATGCGTTCCTCTCTCCATCACCAGAGGAAAAGCCCACATGGCTCCTCACAGCTTGTTTTCTGTGAGAAAAAGCTATAAGTATGGATTCCAGGAAAGAGCCTACATCTCTGGACTATTTGGACTCTTACAGGGAAGTGTACCAGAGGCAAAGCAGATTCCCCAGAGACTATCTGGGAACCCTGAAAAGACTTTTGGGAAACTGGCAGTTTATTACATCCCTGCCGCCATTTGGAATTACAAACTGTGACTCACCTGTACATATATTTGACCTGCCTTAACCTCTCAATAACTCTCATTTCGTTTTCTTAACTAATAAACCTTTAGTTAGCGTACTACAGAACTGGCTACCAGCATTGTCTTTGGTGTAAGATCTAGAGATCTGGGGTAAGTGACTAGTCTCTTGGGACTGGGAGCAACCTAAATGTGATGTGATTTTTGGTTTAAATGACCTTTTATCACAAAATCCAGTTTGTCTGGCTGGTAAGATAGACTGGAGAATCTAACGGGACTGTCTGTGACTCTATGATAAGACTGGTATAAATGACCCAGGAGTTCACATTTGTTACTGGTTTGATGAAATCGAATTACAGAACACACCACCAGATTGGGATGTCTGCCCTGTTTTCTGACAGTCTGCCCTGAGTTAGGCACTCACAGTCATGAGCCACTCCAGACAATCTGACACCCACCCAAATCATCTTCTTGTTATTCCTCTGACAACCACAGCTTCACTCTAACACAAATAAAACCACGCCCACTCCTCCTGCATATCAGTGACAATATTCCTGGGTGCCAGAGTAAACCCATGGGGCTGTACCAGCAATTGGCGGCTGCATATCAAATGAAGTCTTGTGTCGAAAGTTTAAAGCAGACCGAATTTTAGTTTTAAAGGACAGCATGTGCGGTCAGCAGTCCTAATTATCACCCCAAATTACAGTCACTGGGTGTGGTTCTGCTCTCTTTTACGCAAGAACTCCTGGGTGAATCAGGAACCCCGCCCTGGAAGTCAGTGGAGTTATACAGGCATAAAACCACTGTAAGTGAGAAGAAATCAAACCAATTATCTTTATTTGATCATGTTTTACAAATGCACTTAGTAACATCTCAGTCTTCGACACTCAAGGCTACAGAAAGGATTGGGAGATTTTCTTTAAGTCACTAATTAGTAAACACAATGAAAAGTTTAACATAATATGTACACGGAAACATTATTTTCAAAAGATATCCTCTTTTTTACCACTTTAGGCTCATTTAAAAAAGGTGGTGGGGGGTTTCCGAAGATGGCTTGCAACAACAACATGAGGATAACACATCTGCAAGATAACAAGGAAATTCAGTTCAACGCCTGAGACTTCATACTTTCATGTCAAACAATCTCTGGAAAGGTAAGTTCACTTTCCTGGTGCTGAGTGGGCTTCAAAGTTATTCTGTTCAGAAGGATTTCTAACAAAATGATATACCATAATGTGATGTCAAAGTAAGAATACTGCCTTTATTTATTTCTTTTCCTCTGAACATGGCTCTATCCAAAGAATCTTCTTACCTCCTGAAACACCTGCTTCGGCACACTCTCTTAGGTGGGACATCCTCTCTCTGGTGAGGTTTCCTCGGACAACAATTCTCCTGCTAAGCAATGCCACAACAGCTTTCAGAGCAAAGCGCTGCCCATGCACCCACTCTTCTCCAGAGCTGTGAGGGTACCTATACAAAGCATAGCAACAGACACAAGAACATGACTGCCGGAACGTCTGCAGGAAGCATCCATTCATCCTGAGCTTAGAGATGGAAACGTCACAATTCAGAGCTGGGTCCAAACTAGTTTTGTTAAGTTCCAGGCTCTAGCTCTGAGTCCATCTCTATTTCATAACTACAACAGCAAATTCCTGTGAATTATAAAAGGGTTTGGGAGTATGGAAAGACTCTGGTTGGTTTAAAAAGGTTTCAATATGTTCTATGCACATACACACACACACACAAAATCAGAATGAAATCTGAATCCACCAGATTCCTTCATTATGACCCTAAACTCACATCAGGTTCATAGAAAAGTTCACCTAGAGTGATCCAGGCTGAACTTTAATAGTATGAGCCAAATTATGCTCTCAGGTGACATCTGTATATTTCAGACAATTGTGGTATGGGGCCCAATTCTATTGCCATTGCAATCATTGGCAAATCCTCAAAAGTTTAGTAATAGTTTTGTTGCAGTTTTATATGTTTGAGCTTTGTTCATTTATTCCATCCTATCTCTATCCTATTCAGAAATATAGCTGGTCAGAAAAGGGGAGCTGTGTGGGAGGGGAACAGAGAATTTTGATTTTTGGTGGAAATTCATATAACGAAATATTTTAGCCCAAACCCAACATATTTTTAGTTGGAAATGTTACCATGGTATTTCAGGACAGTTTTAGTTTCAGTGCCTCATGCTCCTATCCTCTTCTATAGGCCAGGCTCCCTGGTTGGACTACATCCCCCATGCTGCAACTTGGTCTCCTCTCCTAGAGACAGGAGGTGCTGCATTACATGAGTCCCAAGCCCTGGTACATCATGAAAGACGTAGTTTGGCCAGGAGCCCAGTGAATACAGCAGATTAGGGGCCGGAGACAATCAATCTACAGCTCCTGAGGGGCCCTGTAGCGGCATTTCCAAATCAAAATAGTTTGGTTTGGGGCATTCAGTTAGTCAACAACAAACACAAAATCATTTTTTCCACAGACACTTTTTGCAAAAATTTTCATTTAGTCAAAAACCCAATTTTCCAGTGAAAAACAGTTTCATTGGAAAATTGTTGACCAGCCATATTCAGAATATATAGGGCCCTAAGGATCTCCAAATATTGCTTTTCTTGGCCAGCATTTTTCAGGCAACTAGAGACCAAATGTAGGACTTACGATACCCACACCTACCACACATTATTTTACTCTGTACCCCACTTTAATAATTAAGAGCATCAACCTCTAGTAACCTGAGAAGACTCTGTAATGTTATCTCCAACATGGAAGCACAGACTACCAGCACTGGGCAACCAGGACCATCTCAGACACCACTATCCAAAAAGAATGAACATTTTTATTACACTTGGGTTGTTTGTTTTATTTTTGGAAATGCCCCAGCTGTATGTGCCCTGGCAAAGAAAAGGAAAATTAAAGCTAAACAAATATGCTCGATGTCCAATAGGGTCATTCTACTAAGAAATATCAGAGGGGTAGCCGTGTTAGTCTGTATCGACAAAAACAACAAGGAGTCCAGTGGCACCTTAAAAAGACTAATAAATCTGTTAGTCTTTAAGGTCCCACCGGACTCCTCGTTGTTTCTACTAAGAAATAAATGTTACCTAACTCAGCTTTGCAAATTCTACTCTCCTGCTCAGAGTAAATTTTTTTTAAGTGGGTTCAGTAAAATATCATCAGAGGTTGTTTTTTTTTTAGGGGGGGGTCATTATCATAAATAAGTGTGAGAAGCTGTTTTTGTGCCTGCGGTTGTAGCATTTTTCATAACAGTTTTGAAGGTTTAATTGCTATGGAAAAGCTCTCTGCAGATTGTTCAAAGTCCACTGGCTGGTTCTTGGTTTGCTCTTGACGCAAGATACTGGAAGGTATCATTACAGAGTGATGTCAGTTTCTGTAAAACTTCTCAAAGAAAGGTATTTATATAATATTGTCATCACTTTATATTGCAATTGTTGCGATTCCTGATCCTGACTCCCATGCTTTACTGACTTTTTTTCTACATATGAAAAATAATCTGTAATAATTTAAAGCAGATTAACTATTCTGGATTAACATTTATTCTGGAATAAGAGCATCTACATAGGGAGTTAACCAGGACTACTTAATCAAGAATAACTTCCTGTGTAGACAAACCACAAATTAGCTACCTGTTGTTGGGATCCCCCAAGACCCACTGACCTGAGAGGTGATCTAAGGTAGAGTTCAGTGTTGTTCACTGCCTCAATTGTGACAATTTCCTCTTGCCGATACGTATCTCCAGGACCGGTTCCACTCACAATAACTTCATCCCCAGGCTGCCAGTCGACAGGCTCCTCTAGGAATATCCTAGAGTCATTAACGCAAGCTGCTGACTTCAGGTGTGTGAACACCACTTCTGGCACCCAACCTAGGAATAATACATGAAGAAATGAACTGGGTAGTTATCCGTCACAAAGGAGGACTCGACAAATCACATTAGCTGGGTGCTTAGAAAATACTGGCTAGTCATTCAGACTATGACCAGGAGTACACTAAAAAGTTACTTTGACCCAGCTACATTGCTCGAGGGGCATGAAAAATCCAACTCCCCGAACAACGTAATTAAGTGTAGATAGCGCTAGGTGGGAAGAATTGTTCCAATGACCTAGCTACCACCTCTCAGGGAGGTGTATTAACTACAGCAATGGGAGCACCCTTCCTGTTGCTGTAGTGTGTCTACACAGAAGTGCTGCAGCTGAGCCACTGTAGCGGTTTAAGTGTAGACATAGCCTTTGCTACAATCAATGCTACAAAAGAGTATCTGTGATCATTTGTTGGATTACTAAAACAGAAACACCGTCACAGCGAATTCATGGTTTTCCCACTCTACTGATTTCATTTGCTGCAAATATTTGAACAAGTGTGGTTGGTTGTTCAAAAGGATGTTTGTGGAAAGCGAAAGCCTTGTGAAGATCCATGAGAATGAGTGTTTGTGCCAGATGCGTTTGCATAGCCATCTCTAAATCAGAGAACAGAAAGAATACCATGGCCAATATATTCAAGAAACTAGTGATTGCCCCCAACTGGGAAAATCTGGCCATTTTAAGCTATAATTAAAAAAAATACTGAATTGTTAATGATATTGCAGTGCTATACGCAATTATTGTCGTTTTCCTGAATATTTTTGTTGCATTGTTTTGTTTTTTGTTTTACACATTTATATGGAAAATGTCTCTCCAAATCCCAATCTACATTATTACATTCAAACAATCTAAATTCCTCATAAGTTTCCATTTCATATCATCTGCTTCCTTGCTTCCTGCCCTGAACTGTTGTGCAACGTAGTGGTATACTGTTGAAGGTTGCCATGTTCTGCGCAGGAGATGGCTGCACATAGGTGTCCTGGGATCCTTCTGGATGAAATGCACCAGATACAGGACATAACAAATATCTTGATCATTCTGGCTTTTAAAACCATTTGAAAAAAGCCTCTGGCCAGAATAAGCCTGCCAGGAATTGAATATGGTTTAAATAATATGTTGATGAATAACTATTAAAATAAAGTATCAGAGGGGTAGCCGTGTTAGTCTGGATCTGTAAAAAGCAACAGAGAGTTCTGTGGCACCTTTAAGACTAACAGATGTATTGGAGCATAAGCTTTCGTGGGTGAATGCATGCATCCAACGAAGTGGGCATTCACCCACGAAAGCTTATGCTCCAATACATCTGTTAGTCTTAAAGGTGCCACAGGACTCTCTGTTGCTTATTAAAATAAAGTGAGGCATTGCCTTTATCTCTTGATTATACCATCTCTCCACACTGCTTTGGAAATCCTGTCTTAACCCTATAATATGGATCCGTATCTAGACAGAACCTTAATGTAGATATGACTTAATGAGTTAACATTGACACATCAAAGAAATGTTGGGAATATAGTTATAGTACAGGTGTCGGCAACCTTCGGCACATAGCCCATGAGGGTAATCCGAAGGCGGGCCACGAGACATTTTGTTTATGCTGACCATCCCTGCGGCCTGCCGCTTCCCGCAGCTCCCACTGGCTGGGAACGGCAAACCGCAGCCACTGGGAGCTGGGAGGGGGCTGTGCCTGCGGATGGTCAATGTAAACAAAATGTCTCACAGCCCACCTTTGGATTACCCTGATGGGCCGCGTGCTGAAGGTTGCCAACCCCTGTGATAGTACAAGTATCTCTCTGAAGATGACCTCTAAGGACTTGTCTCCATGTGAAACACTACAGCAGCTATGCCACTGTAGCTCTTCAGTGTAGACACTGCCTACACTGATGGGAGGCCCCCTCCCGTTGGCGTAGGTAATCCACCTATCTGAGAGGTGGTAGCTAAGTCGCCAGAAGAATTCTTCCATCCATTTAGTGCTTTCTACAACAGGGATTAGGTCGGCTCAACTACATTGCTCAGAGGTGTGGATTTTTCACGTCACTGAACAACGTAGATGGGTCGACCAAACTTTTTAGAGTAGACCACGCTTAAGGGAATGGAAATGAACTACTGAGGGTAATAATACTCTGAAATCCTTGGTGAAAGGTTCTGCATAAAGGCAATGGGGAATGTGTGGCCCCATTGCAAACAATGAGCAATTTGCCATTACTTCAATGGAGCCAGGATTTGACCCAATGTACCTAAACAAAAGACTTGGTAGAAACCTTTTTTTTTTTTTTTTTAACTAAAAGGTGTTGGTTTTGTGGTTGTTGAAAAATAAGATTTTGATGACAATGACATTTTTTGTCATTATTCAACAATGACAATTTTTTGACACTGCCTTTTTTGTCTTTTTTGCTAATAAAATTTTGAAGAAAATTTTTCAACACATTTTTGAATGTTTTTGAAATTTTGAAAATTTTCCATTGAAACGAGGAAAAAAATCCCATGCTCTGACTTTTTGTAGTTATTTTATTTTTTTATTTTTCTCACTTTTCCCCCCTGCAAGTAAGTAATAAGTGACAGACGGGAGGTGAACAAACATTCAAAATGCATTTTTTTTAAATGAAATAAAAATTGTTATTTAGAAAAAATGCATTTAAAACCTTTTGTCCACAACATGGGGGGAAAAATCATAAAATTTTGAACACAAAAACTCTTCCTTTTTTCCAGGAAAAATAATGTTAAGCTCCACTTAATACAGGGGTTCTCAAATTGGTGGTCGGGACCCCTCAGGGGGTCGCGAGGTCATCACATGAGGGGTTGCGAGCTGTCAACCTCCACCCCAAACCCCGCTTGCCTCCAGCATTTATAATGGTGTTAAATATATTTAAAAGTGTGTTTAATTTATTGGGGGGGGAGGTTGCACTCAGAGGCTTGCAATGTGAAAGGCGTCGCCAGTAAAAAAGTTTGAGACCCACTGACTTAAGACACTTATTCACTAAACCTCACAGTAGCTTGCTGAGATAGATCCTAGAGGTATCCCCAAGTAGAAGGGTAAAAGGAGACATAGACCCAAACCCTGGGCCTGATGGTGTCAATGACAAATCTTCCATTGACTTCAAAAGAAGCATGTTTGGGGCTCTGGAAGGCAAAGTTACACCACCCTTCGGCTACACACTAAATTAGTGGTAAAGTTGGGAGCAGACTTCTGGCTTCCAGTCCCTCACCCTTATAAGTGGACACACTCCAAAGCCCGCAGTCACCAATCCCTTTCAGTCCAGTGCCTTCCCTACTTTGCCCTTCTTTCTTCGCTAGATGACGTTTGCTCTGACTTTTTACATTCCCTTTTCTCCAGCAGACATTCAAACAGACGTGTCCCGTGAGATCCGACTTGTGCAACAGCATCAGGGAGAGCATGTGGCACATATTCAACCTCCTATGATACATTTTCCCTCACTCCTCTGCAATAGATCATAATTTACCGTTAGCCCACAGAGACTTATTGTCCTCCCTGGTTGTACTAAAGAAAAGTAATAATACCAGAAATCACCAAGGGTAGATGTTGCATCCAATACATCATTTTTCAAATTATTTTAAGCAAGCTTTCCTCTTAGTTTACTCTTTTGTTTTCTGTGAGCCCTCTGTCCCTTGGCCTGAGTTTTCTCTCACTTGCACTCCGACAGTCAGGAGTAACTGCACTGAAGTCAATAGATTTACACTGGCATAACAGAAAACTCAGGCATTTACATCCTGTTATTCTGAACCATCTTTGAATGCCTTCTGTGTGTATGAACGGGACAGTATGTTTCCAGCTTGGGTTACTGTAAGGACCAGGGCATGGGCAATCAGGCCTAACCATGCAAGTCAGGAGCCAGAAACTAGAGCCAGGAGGACATAGCCAGAGATAGAATCAAGGGTCAGGCCAAGGATCAGACGCAGGGCATATGAGCATGGACCTGGAGTGAGGCAGGTAAGCAGGAACCAGCAGCAGATGGATATCTGGGATAAGGAGGGAAGGAACAGGATGGAAGGCAGGGCTCAGGGTGCAAGCAAGGATGCAGAGCCTCAAAGCAGTAGACAGCCATACATTCACCTAGCTGTTCAGACAGCTTCCTGTGCCACCTTCTGGCTTAAATATTGCATTTGAGCCAATTGGCGGGGACAGACATCTCTCCCAATCAGGAGCTCTTGGCCAGCTAGAGTTTTACCTGCCCCTTTTTCCAGTAGCTCTAAAGAGCTTCAGGGTGGCAGCTGCCTGGAGTACTGCAGGCCTGGGTTCAAAACCCAGACTTGATTACTGTTTAAAGTTGGGGTTTTTCCACATGGAGTCAAAGGTTCCATAATTACACCCAAGCTTTACTAAAGAGAGAAATCAACCCCTCAAGGAATCACTTTACCCTATTTGTTGTTTCTTTTTTAATGTTACTTAAAAAACAAAATAACTTGCTAATTATTCTCCCTACTAGAGTGCTCATGGGAGAAGTGGACTAGCAGGCAGTCGAGGTTAGTATCATTGGTGGAGCCCCAGATGAAGAAAGGGACACAACATGATAAGATGTGTGTGACAGCCTGGAGGCAGGGCTGGCTCCAGGCACCAGCGCAGGAAGCAGGTGCTTGGGGCAGCCAATGGGAAGGGGCAGTACGTCCGGGTTTTCGGCGGCAATTCAGCGGCGGGGCCCTCAGTCCCTCTCGGAGGGAAGGACCGGTCGCCGAATTGCCACCGAAGAATGAGCGCACAATAGCTGTTCTATTTGCCAGAACAGTCACTAATATGCCAGTAGCTAACTCATCCTTAGACAAAGTGTTTAACATTTCTTTAATGATACCTCTCTGATAAGCCTCTGCTGCTCTTGAAAAAAATTGTAGTTCTGTCTCACATTCTTTCAGCTAAAGGTCTCAGAGACCTAAATGCTTCTCATGGACCAGATGACTATCCTCCTCTTGGAGGACTGTATCAAATCAGGGAGATTTAAGCAAGTGTTTAAATGCTGAATAAGGGTGTACATACGTACATGCTTAATGCTTTTCC